GAATTTAAAAATGTTAAAGGGATTGATTAATGTTTCGGCCAAATTCAGCGAACAGTTGTATCAAGCGTGACCAAAACAAACGAGAGGCCAAAATAAAATCCCATGGGAATAACGATGGAAACGAAAACATTTCCATGTGAAAATGAATTTCATTTGGACATGCTCACTGTAAATCTCGTTTACTGACGATCAATCGCTCATTTCAAACTTAATTATCGTGAGCGCAATGAATCATCTCAAATAACTTGTTGCCATTTCATCATGAACACGTATGAGAATGAATGAATGCGGAAATAAATTTAAAATCTGATAACTAAACAAATAAATCAACTGAACAAAACAAACAAAATCAACTAAATAATGCACTTACCTAATAACGTCAGTAATCTGGACGATGATAAGTTCAATTCAATTTTGAAGCGATACGATGTTAATTGATAGTGTGAATGAGTGTTGTTTGGTTTGTTTGTACTCACAACTCACTCACGATTGTCAGCGTTGTAATAAAGTAACGTAACGAATTCAGCCAACAAGGAGCATCAACAAAATACCATTATAAAACGTCGTATAAAACAGTTCCTCGCGTTTTCAATCAGCCAGTAGATTTTTTACACTTCATCGATTAAAATACGAACAAATTATCAAGATGTGTGGTGAAGTGAAGATCTAGACTGAAACCATCTTGTTAGCTGTTTCATATCGCAATAGTACACAAAATGGCAACCGGGAACAAAAAACACACAACGTTCTGAATGAATTGGAAAACAACACGTCTTATGAGTGAAATTGTTTATGAGACATCTGCATCATTTGCTGAATAGCGATTTCCAATCGTTTCTGTTTCGTTGGTTTGTTTGTCAGCAAAAACAACTTTTTTTGTTATATTCGTTGAAAATCTATCGCGCAATAAAAAAATTCACGATAGAGCATGCTGGTGTCGTTGCGTTCAGATGCGGATTAAAAAGAACAACAGCATTGTCACCAGTGTTACGAATTTGTCGAATTACCACTTACTATCAGCGGTATTATCAAAATTACCTGTAGATTTTACCCCATCCAACTTATCAATACAATGAAAATCGCTTGTTCCTGTTGTTGCTTTTCAATAAAATAAGTTTTTCTTTGTTGTATTCGTTATATTTGCTGGAATATTTCAATGAATCTATTAATTAACGAGCAAACAATGCAGATGTCTATAGTTATCAATAACTCGAAACACAAGAATTCCTTCTGATTCAGCGCTAACATCCACCAGATTATCAACGGTATCAAAGGGGATGCTGGCACTAAGGTCTCTTGGTTACTACACAGATGAAATGATCGCGTTTTTCTTAGGGCCAAAGGTGTGAGAGTGAGGTCGTGAGAAGCAGCACAGCTGTAGTTGATGTAAAACATCTACTCGACACATAACACAGCAAGATCGCTTATCAGTTCGATGATCGCCTCAAAATAACCGTTTCCTAACTCTCAGTGAACAACCTCTACGAGACAGTCACTATAATCGAACATAACAATCAATTGTTATCATCTAATATGTTATCATCTTCAAATATGTTATCATCTAGTCGCTTTATCACCAAACGAAATCAACTGATAAGTTAATGCAAAATAAATGCGCTTCTGTTTATATAACGAACCAAAAGAATAAGAACCTACAAGCGAATCCAGTTCTGCAATGAAGCATTCATATGGAATGACTCCCGCATGCAGTTAAAACGAAACGATATTTCGTTGAATCTCAGAATATTGCCAAAGTTTTCTCGGATTCAACAAGTATTCAGCGATACTGTGAATTCATGATCATCAACATCTGAATAAATGCGCATATGAGATTCGAGAAAATCATTATCAAACTTTATTCACCCATTCATTGTACAACTTTTCGATGACATCTATAATCTTACTGTACTGTACAGTAACTCCATACAGTAACACACATGATAAGGTATATTCACAATAATGATAATAATAATAATAATAATAATCCAAAAAATAGATCAAAAATGAAAAAATATAAAAATGACAATAAAATGCAAATAATATTATGATGCTTTACAAAATTTGGCAAACAATACGCAAATAATATTATTATACCAATACAAAAAATGCAATGTCTTGTTCACTTGACAGCTTAAGCAAAACGTACGTACATATAAACGTAAAATAGACACAAAAATGAATAATCTCACAAAAATATTGATGAAATATTATTCGTTCATGATAAATTACACGAATTCAGTGCTGGAAATGAGCATTCAACAGATTAAGTGAAATTATGCGAAAAGAATGTCAGAGATATTATAGCACAACATCAGTATACACGAGCAAAGAATGCACCATTTGAAATTCTAATGAAAAATATGCACGAATGACAGCAGCGGAAGCAAAAAGAAGCCAAATGAAAGAAAGCGATGAATAATTCCAGAACAGCGCATAGATATCCATCCATCTCATGAACATCAATATCTCAAAGATGTGATATCTGTGAAAATGCCAAGTAAGAAATCCAAGCTCTGAGGACAGCCTATGCCAATATTGAATAGAATTACTCTCATTTCTCTTCGAATTCTTTCAATAACTACTTAACAATATCATGCTGACATTTCAACACGAAATAAATCCTTCAAATTTACTTTGTTCTTAGAATCACAACATAGCAACAAAACGGTTCGGATTNTACCAAACAATTTCACTATCGCATAATGCTTCGAGAATTGAACAAACAGTCAATTGATCAGTGTGAAAAACACTACACGTAACAAGAAAACTTATGAGCTTATTTTAGGAAAGTAATGTGATGATAGAGATTGTAAAGTCTGAATTTTCAGCTCTAATATACAATATTCATCATAACTGCAAGACAACTCGTGACAAATCCTCAATAAAATTAAACTTTTTAAAACTCAAACTTGAATCAAACAAAAAAACGTTTGACTTTAACAAATTTGCTCTTTTCATCTCAAACTCGACAACATTCATTGATAATTTCATCACCTACGATTCCTGGTTTCTCGTTCAGGCGAGCTAGTCGACGACTGATCAATTTATGAGCTTAATGAGTCGTTATTGTTGGAATCGAATGTAAACAACGCAGTCGAAATGATGAACACAATTCATTGATAGCAATAAATCAGAATTTTTCAGTGTTATTTCTCGAAGCATTTACAAAAACAGACGGTTGATCCAGCACAATGGTACCTAATTCATAGGTTTTCGGTACGAACACCTTGAATCGAGGCAGCGTTATCACGTCACCGTCATCTCTATTACAGTAATGCAAAATCTGGATGAACGGCTCAGGATCGTTCGCTATTCCAGGCAACCAGTCAAAATCATCACCGCAACCGTCCAATTGGAATGTACCATCTTCGTTTGAGAATGTCACACTGAAATTTTTACGATTAATAATATTGTCATTACTTTTTTTCAAACTCAAACTATCACTGTCACAATAATCAAAAAACTAATTATCATTAGTGAAAAAACTCAGATATTTCATTTCTTAGGAATAGTTCTCAATTCTTTTATCTTTTCTTTTCA